GAAGCGATACAGAAAGTATATGAATCTGGAGGAGATGGAGAGGGAGTTTGCAAAATTGGAGGGGGCAGCTCGACCAGAGCCAAAGAAGGAGAAGAGCCCACCCGGGAAGGTCGCCGAGGAGAAGTTTGCCCAAAAGGAGCGGGCCGAAAAGAACATCGCCCAGGAAAGAATGCCGAGATTCAAAACAGACGAGAAGGGATGACAGGTGGCAGGGGAGGCCATTGTCGTTCGAAAGGCAGAGGTACCATAATTTTACACCCTTGAGAAAAGATTTAACAGAAGTGCTCGAGGCTATGGAGCAGAAGATGTCGAGCGAGGATGTGACGTGGCTGAAGACGAGGTTTACAGACCTGATTCGACCCAGGTCAGACATCTACTGCCGTTTTCACCGATATTATGGCCATACCAGGGAGAACTGTAGGCATTTGAAGGATGAGATCGAAAGGCTTATTCGAGCGGGGCACCTGAAAGAGTTTGTGTATCATGATAGGGCTAAGGGAAAAGGAAGGAGGAGGTGTCGGGAGCATTTGGAGGAAGGGAGTGATAGAGATGAGGAGGGAGATGATAGGGATGGTCGAAATGGTCGAGGGAAGAAGTCGAGGAGAGATGGAGATAAGGGAGGACACGGAGGCGAAGCTCCTATGAAGAGAGGGACAATTTATATGATTTCAGGAGGGCCGACGGATGGTGACTCGAATAAGGCCAGGAAGGAGCATGCTCGAGTTGTGAAAAGAAATAGAGAGGAGGTGGGGATCACGGCTCTCATGCCGGTGATAAGTTTTAAAGCAGAGGATGCTGAAGGTGTGGTCTTGCCGCACAATGACGCTTTGGTGATTACTGCGGAGGTTGCGGGCTTTGATGTGAAGAGGGTGTTTATTGAAATCGGGAGTTCGGTAGACGTGATGTTTTATGAATATTTTGTGCAGATTAATAAGGAGCTAAATATGGAGTTGAAACCGGTGGCCACGATGCTTTACAGCTTCAATGGAAGAGAGGTGATGTCGATGGGCGAGGTGA